ATGCTTCCCAGATCACTTTTTCCTGTGTTCAGATGTTCCTGGGTTTAACCACGTTTACATGCATTCAGGTGCATTTAGCTGCGTAAAATCAGGCTAAACGGTCCCAGGACACAAAGCTAGACTGAATGCACCTAGACAATGATAAACATCTAGGTGTGCATTCAGCCATAGCAAAGTATTACATGCTTTTAGGTGCGTTTAGAAATGAGCTCCGAACAAACCCAGACTCATGTATTTTCATTGCATGGGGCCTAAGGTATAAAGGTCTTTCAGGCATGAGGCCTAAGGTCTCAAGTATCACCCTTGAAGCCCAACTGCTTTCTGCGTCTCTATTGAGAACATTTTCTTTAAGATTTTAAACACTGAGTATCCCCCATAGAGGAGATTACTCTCCTCGCCCTATTTTGTCTGACACCCATCTTTTAGACTGGAAGAGATAGGGAATCTTCCTCATGGGAACAGAGACAGCAGGTAAAATCTGTCAGATGTTTTAAACCATCAACACACTGTTTTTATTTCTGCCTGTTTCTACATTGGGAAGATGTCTCCACACTTTCTGATCGGCCTGACATCTGTCAAATAGGCTATCACTGTAAGGCACTTTAAAGTAAATGCATAAAAAGTATTCACCTTTAGCCTTCCCCACAGTAATTATTTGCCACCATTGATCACTGCTGACAGTATGTCCCCAGTTATGAATGAACAGGATGTGATTTACATCACTTCCTGTTCATTCATGAGTTTCTCAATGGGGGGAAGCACTCTGTACAGAGGCTCCTCCCCATTCAGAAACTGTATGATAGTAAAATATTTTCTGAATGAATGGGAAGCCTCTGTGCTTTCCATTCATTTAGAACAGAGGCTGCAGAAAAAGTGTCCTCAATTTCTTTTTCTATTTTAAAAGGGAAATATCAGGGGGATGTTTAGACCGCTAATATTTCCCTGAACCGCAGAGAGTAAAAAAAAATTAAATAAAAAATTAAATAGATTTAAAAAGAAATAATAAAAAAAGAAAAAGAAAATCCTGGAGGCAGGGCGCTGGGTGACATCACCACTCCCCCTCCCGCCCCTGAATGCAGGTGTTTTTTCGTTGGTAGATCTGATTGAGCTCTTCATTTGAAAAGTAGATCTCCAGACAAAAAATTGTGGGCGCCCCTGGTCTACAGCATAGGTGTGCCCAAGGGGTGTACCGTCGCCGAAACCCAGGGCCAGTGATAGTGTCTCCAAACTGACCGATGGGTGTGGCCTAGCTGGATGTGACAGTGGTCTCCTCCGGCCACCAACTAAGCTCCTCCCCTCCACTGCAGCTATGATTGGCCGGTCTTTCAGCCTCTCCATTGGCCAGGAAGATGGTAAGGACAGTGCACTAAGGTGCCGACAGTAAGCCCTGACTCTGCCCAATGGCTGTGTAATGCATCGCTAGGATTTGTAGTCCTCCATAGCTGGTGGCATTCTGCATTGCTGTATAATGTATTGTTGGGATTTGTAGTCCCTCTACAGCTTGGAGTCAGTGGCAGAATGGTATCTGTGCATCCCTAGTACACTCTATGACAGGAATGTATGGGGTGCGAGGGACACTGTGGGACAGGAATGTAGGGGGGGCAGGGCCGTCGCTAGCGTAAGGCAGCCACCTGAGGGCACTGGGGTGGGGGTGAGGGCAGAAAAATGCAGGCAAAATTCCTCGTACCTGTCTACCGAAGCCACAACACCAGGCACTGTGTTTTTAGAGCTAATGGAGAGATCACAAAAATATCTCTGTGACAGGTTCAGTGATGCAGAACGCAACAGCACTTCCCACTTACATTCCTCACATAACAAGCACAGTCCTCGGTGCCTGGGAAGCTGCGAGGGAGTGTGTCTGTGGCTTCCCATCCAATCAGGAAAGCCAGACAGGGGGTCATATAACCTCCTGCCAGGCTCCCTGCTTCATTACTGCACCCCTGCTGGAAGAGGTAAGGGACAGTTGAAGAGATGGGAATCTGGGATACCCCAGGTCTGTGTTTGTATATAAATACCTAAATAAATATACAGTATTGCGCATTCCTAGGTCTACAGTATGTACTAGCATTATATACTATGTATAAAAGAAGGGACACTCTTTGTCATTTTCACCAAATACATAACAGCCATCATAACATTTAAAGAATCAAGGATAATTTAAGAATTCAGAAACTTGTAGATAAGAATGGTCATACCTTTCTTAGACTATACTGAGTGGAAGAACTCTTGCAACCCAGCCAACCATGGCTATCATATGTGATATGTTTACAAACAAACCTGCCAGTTGCGGCTAGCACTGAGCCGCTCACATTGCCAGGAAAGTGGTCATTGTGAATTGCAATGTGTAAAAAGAAGTTAACTTAAAAAAATTCAAAAAAACTTTGATTAAAGACTGTTACGTCTTTTTAAACATTTTGTCAATTTGTCAGCTTTTTAATAAAAACATCCGTAGGGTATTAATTAAAACAGTGTAGTAAAAGCCCTAACTTTGCTGTGCTAAAGATCTACGCCAGCTGAAGTATATTTAGCATTCAACACACTTCTGGATATGTGGGATGTCTGGTCCCCTGCTGCACTCTGTGGTTTCATCTGCTGACAGCTAGATGTTCAGCACAGTTATGGCTCACAGGCTGTAAGAATTATACGGGGTATTTTCTGATTTATTTATTTTTTGCAATGGGTATTTTCTGATTTTTTTTTTGCAATGACAAGTGTTTCTTTAAGCAGAATGATCTCTTTAAAAGCAGATTGATCTTTTAAATTAGCATAATTTTAATGAGCATACAAATGTTGTTCTGATCTGCTTAGAAAATAAAAAAATCTGAAATGTTTTAATTCTGGACATACAAGATTACCAAACATTCTTAGGAAAATATAGATGTCAGGCTTTTTTTTTACAATTTTTTTTTACATGGGTGTTCACCTTTGGTTCATATTTGGTTCACCCATACAAACAAATTGAACTCAGCCTGTTTATGGAGAGTGTTAACTCCTTTGCGTCCACTGGGGTACATAGTGCGTCATTGGCAGCAGGCCCATTTAAACAGACTAAAGCTGCCGGGACTCGGCTGTCTGCTCTATAATAGAAGCCATTCTGGCAGCTCAGCTGCCACCAGATCGCTTCCATGGGCCCCCACTGTGTTTACCATTGGGTGCGCCTACGTACGAATAAAATACGAAAATGTATGAATAAAGTACGAATAAAAAATACAAAAATGATGATTGTGCTACACATGTTGGGTATTGCAGCGCATACCAGAGTGAAAGCAATAATTCTAGGGCCAATATTTACGTGTATTTCTAAACCTGACCTGTAGGGGCTTTTAAAGCGTCATCTATGGACTTTTTGGGGCACAAAAAAATTGGTATTTTATTGTGGTTTGGGGCACTAAATGTAACTTATGTGCATTTTTCACAAAATTTCTGGGTTTGATAAACAGTTGCGCTAATATGGTGCAACATAAAAAATTTGCAACTGCCAACATTTTATTCAACAGGGTGTTGGCTTTCAGAAAATATACAATGTTTGGGGTTTGAAGTAATTTTCAGTCCTAAAATGTGGATTATAATATGTGTGAAAAACAAAAAAAACAAAAAACAAAACAAGACCTTGGCAGCGAAAGGCTTAAAATGCATTTTGTTAGTACTACAGATTTTTGTTGCTCTGAAACCCATTGCTAGCACTGCAGTGCAGTGACATTATGTGCATTGGGACGCTGCAGTAGCATTTGATGTGAATGGCAATTTAAAGCACCTGCGTTGCAGTGTTTACAATGTGCAATAATACAGTGCCATGTATCATGATGCCCTGTGGTGCATATCCAATTTTCAGTCCCCTGTGGTGTGCTGGCAGCGCCATTCATTTGAAAGGGTTGCGTTAATGCAACGTGCGTAAATGCACTGCAGTATATAAGATTATTATTTCCTGCCTATGGCCAACATAGTCCTGCAAAGGCATATATGACCCTTTCTATTCTAACATGAATAAAGGGATAATAGAAAGAGGTTAAATGGAGATACAGTATAGTGATACATGAACACATCAACACAAATAAATACTTTGTAGGACAGACTGTGTCTTTAATCATGGGCACATTATAATTCTGTTTAATGTCACAACACATGTTAAATCTTGATATTAATTTGTATTAATAAGAATTCCGTTTTGGGTTTCTGAAACATTGATGCAACATTAATAGTGCAGATAGTTTTTTTCTAAATGAAGTCCTTTGACTGCTATTCTGAGAAAAAAAAAGCATTGTATCCCCATTCATCTGTTAACTCTTACAATCTGACACACCTTTAGGAGAAGGCCCTTCTCCTAAAGGTGTGTCAGATTGTAAGAGTTAACAGTAAACACAAATCACTTTCCATTTAACATGGAAAAAACATCAGCAAAAAAAAGTCAGCCACGTGGTGGATTAGTTATTTTATTTAAAGCAAAATTGCTGAGATAAGGCTGAATAGTCATTTTGCTTGACTAAAGGCCCCAATTAGGGTAGAATTACAAGACAAGCATTGTAAAATATGAGATAGACAGCTACATTGCTGCTCACTCACATTCCATACCCTTTCTGCCTTGTGTTAGAACAGAAAGAGATCTATTATGGAAAAGCCAATTTTCTAGGATGTTTAAAGACTCCGGCAAGAAAAACAGTATTAAATGCTGCATTTGGCAGGATGTCACACACACACAAAAATTTCCTCTTCTTATAGATACTTTATAAAGCATTACTAACAGTAAGGACAGTGTGCCAGGGCTTCAGGGATATTTTAAATATGGCTATTTATTTGAGTAGGAGTCATTTTAGTAACATTCGGAGACATGGCAAAGAATGTATTCTTGCAATGGCAACAATTTTGATGGCAGTGAGTCTCAATTTACTGTTAAAATTGTAATTTTGTTTTTCATCACACACTTTTACATTTTATAAACAAATTGTGCCTTTCTTAAGCTATTATGACTTAGGTGTATCTATTTTTTTGTTATTTCAGGTAGACCCAGAAAGCTGGGAATGGCAGGAAAGATGCCGTCTGTTCAGTATTAACAGGATGAAAGGTTACCATGGGGAAGGCAGCCAGTCACAGCCTCCATGTCACTGCATCCCCGAAATCAGAGAGAGAGCATTGGATTTCCCTCATCACATCCCAGATTTCCACAAGTCCTATCCTCGCAGCGCCTCTGAATCTTGTTCCCTTGATCTGCACTATTGTCCTCCTCGGAGTGCTGCTGTGACACAAGATTGTCCTGGTGGTCCTGTGAGTATGCCTGAGCCACGGTCCTCCAGTGGTGGTACTTACCCCAGAATGCACCACAACCCCCAACAGTTTGACTGCGATGAATGTATGGCCGCTATTGCTCACAACTCCAGCAAGATCAACCGCTTGCCCCCTACACTTTTGGACCAGTTTGAGAAACAGCTGCCCCTGCATCATGATGGCTTCCACACCTTGCAGTACCAACGTACCAGCACCACAGAGCAGCGTAGTGAGAGCCCAAGCCGTATTCGCCACCTAGTGCACTCAGTACAAAAGCTGTTTGCTAAATCCCACTCGCTGGAGACACCCTCTAAGAGGGAATACAATGGCACCAGATATGAGGGACGTGGAGGAGATGGCTACCAGCACTCCCAGCCTCGGCACAGTAAGAGAAGCAAAAGCAAAGACCGCAAGTCAGATCCTAAGCACCGATCAAAGATGGCAGGGTGGTGGAGCTCTGATGATAACCTTGACAGCGACAGCAGTTTTCTGGTGTCGGCACGTCATGCCATGGAGCATGGAGCTCCCTATGGAGTGGACACTCCTGAAAGTGCCTTCAGAGACTTAACCTTAAAGAGTCTAAAGGGTGGAGGCGGGGAGGGAAAATGCTTGGCCTGTGCTGGGATGTCAATGTCCCTAGATGGGCAAACGCTTAAAAGGAGCACATGGCACACAATGACCGTCAGTCAAGCACGGGAAGCATATCCAAGCTCAGGCAGCCATCATCAAGACAAGATGCTGATGCTTCAGGAGGCCAAGGGGAAAGAGCGAGGATACCATTACCTGCAGGTAGGAATAAATGATGCATTCTCAGTGAAAAACAAATTTTTATAAGCCTACATCGAATGTTTACACTTTTTACTATAGTTTTTATTTTTTAAAAGGTCAATCATATTTCTATCAGAGATTTAGAGGTGCATGCAAAAATGAACATATGGCCATTTGTGAACTACAACAGATTTAATTTAAGCAATAAATTCAGCCTATGAATAGGATCGTGAATAACTTTAAAGGTTATCAATATTTTGGAACATTCATTAAAACTCAAGAAATGGCCTTTGATATGTACATCAACTGTTTTATTTGGGGTTTTTTTAAGCACAGATAAAGTCACAGAAATAGATATGCATTCAGATTGAGATTATACTCACAACCTCTATTTTCATAGTCTTACCTTTAAAGTGACATTAAACCCTCAGATTTTTTAACATAAACCAATACTGTAATGTGTGCCTTACTGTAATCCATGGTAGTTTCCCTTCTCTTTGCTGCTCTTCCTTTTAAATCCTCATGTCTTCTCATGGTTGGGGAGAACTTCCCTTTGCAGCTCAGGGCCTCTTCCTGTAGTGCTGGCTAAGGTTACAAGCCTATAGAAACGTATACACAGACACCATGTATCCATTTCAGAGACAAGGCAGTCTGCTGCAAAACAGAAGTTCTGCCCAGCATGAGAACAGATACAGATTTAAAAGGAAGAGCAGCAAAGAGAAGGGAAACTACCATGGATTACAGTAAGGCACACATTACAGTATTGGTTTATGTTAAAAAATCTGAGGGTTTAATGCCACTTTAATTTACTGTTACAGCAGTTGGCAGCAGTTGTGCAGTTTGTCTAAGTCAGGGATGGCCAAACTGCGGCCCTCCAGCTGTGGTGGAACTACGGATCCCATGAGGCTTTGCAAAATTCTCACAGCCACAGACATGACTCCCGGAGAGAGATGCTTCATGAGATTTGTAGTTTCACCACAGCTGGAGGGCCGGAGTTTGGCCACCCCTGGTAAGTATTACTCTGCAGTCCATTAGAGTTAGACCCTGTGCTCTCATAAATCCGAATTTAAAACGAAACGAATTTTTTGGCAGTGCACATGTCTACTAATCAGTATTCAGTGACAGACCTGATCAGACACACCCTCTCTCTTCTTCTGCACTTGTGATGATGGGTGCGGCTGTTACCCAGTTATGCCAGCATAGAGAATTGTAGTGTGAGGCAGGAAGAAGCATTTTCACTGAAAGAAAAAGGTGTTTAAGGCATTTTCAAGCAAACATCAGTCACTGATCATTTATCTACTATAAAGTGGAAAAAGGTGTGAATTTAATTGGTCTTTAACTCTTTTTTAGAATCTTTTTGTTCAGTACAGTCCAGATTCTACTTCTCTCACTTGACATGTGAATGCTAAGTGAATGAACTCAGTTGCCATAATGCTTTGTTATAGTAACAATAAGCAGTCAGCAGAAGCAACAGATAATATAATAAAATCCCTTGCTGATGCTAACTGGCTGGTTGTATGCTATGTTTTTCTTCACTTAGCTGTATACGGTTGACTTATTTGGATCTGCAATGAAATTCATGATGAGTCAGTGTCTAAAAGAAACCTTCCTAGTTGGCATATTATTCATCTGGAGATTACAAGAAAATGTCAAAAGCATATTAAAGTTAACCTGTGACAATACAGTTTGTAGACTGTTGGCCTTGTGGAGTGTACACATCACCTGTTGAGTACCTAAGCTCTACAAATCTCTGGAATGCTCCAGTATACAAATATCAACCGGCATTACTGCTCAAGAACCTGGAGCTGCCCCTCCCACCTCCAGCAATGCCCTATTAACCAGGGAGGCTGCACATTACAACAATGGGCCAGTAGTGTTTAGCGGGAGTTGAGTGAAGTCAAGTCAGTGGCAGAATCATAGGACCTGGCGGTGGAAAGGGACCCTATTAATGAGCTTTTGAGGCAAATTAAACAATCTGTGTGCATGGGAAGATAACACATATCCATCAATGTTATCAAGGATTGCAGACATTGCTGTTGATACTGACCCTGTACCCCTGTGATATGTACAGTAACGAACAGATGACATTAGACATACAGGAGGAGACCTTGTTGTTACGAATCACAAATCCTCCTATGCAGGAAAAGGAGAATCTGTTTTGCTGTCTAAGCAGTAAAGATTTATTTCACTCAGAGCTCCTAGTCATCCCAGCCAGCACTGAAATGAACCCTGTATGACTAATTCAGTCTATTGCACACTGTAGGAAATCCTAGAGCATTGCCTAAGGCAAAAACTGACAAGATAGCTGTTAGTAGTACTGCAAAAAAAAAAAGCCCATAGTTTAATTGTGTGCAGGAGTACTAACAATTATGTCATAATATAATCTATTGTAATTATCTACTACAACTCTTGTTTTTTTAACTTACAACTAAACAACCTCTTCACAGCTTGCTTGCCGTGCTGGTGGAAGAGGTGGGAAGGCTGAGAATCTGAGATCCTAAGAAAGACTGGTGAGCTATTGAAGACAGAGTAGTTAGCTGGAAAAAAAAGTTTAAACATTATTTCTTTGGGTTGATGCTCCTCCTTCTCCCCCGACAACTTCTGTCCACAGCTCTGGTCCCTAGCAATGTATTGACTATAAAGACAGCTATAAAGCTATATAAGCTATATAGCTGTCTTTATAAGCTATATAAGCTATAAAGACAGCTGTCCTTTCACCTCTCCCTGTTATAGACATTATAGACATACTTTTTGTTAAGATCAATGACAGTAGGAAGGTCACGGGGGGGCATATTCAAATTTAACTATGGCTCCCCACGATCTGTAATTACACCCCACGGTCCAGACCAGGTTTTCCTTCAGGAAGGTTGGTTGATATTTGCATACTAGAGCATGACTGGTTGACATGCTGCCATCTTTAGGTCTGCTGTTGGTAGAGATTTAGCTACTTCAAATTCACTTTAAATCATTAATGTTAGTAAATTGTGTTGCTAATTTGCTGTTGAGATGTTGCTAATGCATTTTAACTTACTACCCTGCCCTTGATTTCTTCATAGTTATTGCTTTCATGCTGTTGACTTTATTATTGACCTCTTCAGTCAGAAAATCTGCAAATGTGGCTCATATAGACCTTTAAAAATCAAATTTTAAAATGTATTCATATTTACAATGAATAGTATATTGCTGACAGTTTAGTTTCTGACCTTAGTTATCTCTTTTTTGTATGCTGAAGAAAACTGTAATTCTAGTAATTTATATGCAAGCTCCAAAGCTCTGTGTTTAACGCTTAGCAATAAGCAGATTAATCTTTATTCAGCTATAATGCAATCAATGTATATGAAATATGCAAATATAACTTTGACATTTTCTACGGTCTATTAGTTGCAAGAGAGTGGGAGAGAGGGCACATTGCTGAGCCTGTGAAATGCACAGAATTCAAAATACACAAATGTTAATTCAGTTAGTGAATATTACAGTAGAATACACAGCAACCTTGTGTGGGGTCAGGTGCAATGAAATATCACTTGATTGTACAGGGGGTATTGTGTCCTGTAGGTGTTTTTATATCTTTTTCCAGATCTCGCCCACTAACGTATGCATGTACGGTTGTGACTAGACTACACAAACTGGTTGATTATTAATGCTAATGGGTGCATGTGCATGCATGCTTAGTATAGCATGAATGTTACAGATATGCGTTTGCAGTAACTGGCAGTATATGGAGTTTTATGTATGCTTGCATAGATGTGTATGTTTAGTAAAGTGTTTCAGTGTGAAGATTTTCTGAACTTTCTGTGTTTTTATATATTATATTGTTGTGGTATCACACATGGATTATTTGAAATTATTTGAAATTATTCTAAATCACACATGTCGAAATAATTAACTAAAGGGTGTGGGAGGACCTCCATTATGAGGAATGCTTATAAAGATGATATTTATTGACTCTAAAGAAAAAGCGCTTAAGGGGGATATGATCACAATATACCACAATGTACAAAAATGTAAGGTGATTATATAAACTGTAATAACCTTTTTACTCTAAGGTCCCTGAAGAATACAAGTGACAATAATTTAAGATTGGACGAAAATAGGTTTAATCATAAACCGAGAAAGGGGGGCTTTACTGTGAGCAGTGAGAATGTAGAACTATTTTCTCCACCAAGTAATATTAGCTGAGAGTGTTTAGAAATTAAAAAAAACATTTAGATATCTTCTTCAGTCAGCATAATATACCAGACTATGGGAAATCAGAAATTTGACAGGAGATTGATCCAGAGATTTATCTGATCGTCAGTATGGGGTCAGAAGGAAATTGTTTACACTCTTTTTTATCATCTTTCAGCAAATTGGCCTATGCTTTGCTTGTATCTTTTGCCCTCCTCTGAATCAAACACATAAAACTCTCACACACAGAGGGTAAACATGATGGACCGTATCCACGATGTAATTACGTAATTACAATATGCCTGCTCTGTGCATCTTCTTTGACCTTAAGTACTTTTTAAAAGTATTCTAAAGCTTGGCAAACTGTAATTGGCATAGTTTAAAGTGTATGTATGGCCAAAAATTGTTTTAGGTGGGGATAGGGTAGGGGTGAGTTAAAAACTCCTATCATGCTACTTTCTTTGCTGCCTGTATACTATTGGTAACATTTCCCTGTCAATTCCTCAGGTGCAATAAGAAGTTAAGGGAAATCTCTAAAAGTGAGGGGAAATCCTTTCTTAGACAGCTGTCCCTGTATTACATGTCCATATTGGGTGATTTGTCCTTACCTTTTGTTCTGGGGACAACTCTATGGGGTCTATTCACAAAGCTGCCGAGGGCAGCCGAGTGAATGACCGATCAGAAGTGAAGTGAGCCGAACACCGTTACACACACACACACACACACACACACACACATATATAATTAGTAGCGCTTTAACAAGGATGTTATCTATGAACAACTATGCAAAAAATGACTGTGTTTGGGAAGGCAGTTATCCAACTGTCGTGGCTTTGATTGTGTATGAAAATGAA